AAGAAACTTAAATCTTTATCAATAAAAGAAAACTAAGAGAAACAAACTAAAGCGAAGCACGCAAGAGAACCAAAAACTCAGCAATCCTCTCTGCTCCAACTGACACTGCATGAACAGGTGCCTAAAATAAGCAATCAATACCGCCCAAATCACATGACAGAGAATGAAAGAGAGATTTAACAGTAGCTACAGCCATCTTTAGCTGTTAGCAAGGCTCTCCGCTTTCTCTGTAAAAACTGTGAAGTCCGGGGTTGTTCACATTCTATGCAGTGCTGAAGACACTGGTGTTGCAATCATAATGTCAGTTGCCATGTGGGATCGACCAGCCAAACATCTGGGGTGAGGTGGGGAAGGTCCATTGACGTCCAGCCGCAAAATTGCCCACAGAATGATGATAGGGGGCGTGATAATTTGGACCATTTGTGATCATCTCTAGGTGCTGGGTATACGACTCCCTGCGTGGGGGCTGTCCCCCTCCCTGAAACTGAACCACAGATGGAAACAGCCTCAGAGGTAGTTTTGTTGCTCATCTCCATTTGTAGAGCAGTCTCTGCCCATGTAGCGAGTTCTTCCAAGGAAAGACTCCCTTCAGGGCCGCTGCCTGAACTCCACGAGTCTGTGAGGGTAAAGAGACAGAGGCAAAGTAAGAATCAGAATACTTTATTGATCCCTGGGGGTAATTATTTTAAGAACAAGAACAATTAAGCACAAGTCTATATGGTCCACATGGGTCAGTTGCTGATATGTTTTGGCACGACTGACTTTCTAACAGAAAAAATTAACAAAGGTTAAATTGATGAGTCTTAAATCCCAAAAGGTCTCAGACTGAAGAAGTCACAAAACATTTCTCCCATTGAAAACATTACATCCAGGTGAACTGAATCAACCTTCAGGGATTTACTTACCTGATGACTGAGCATCAACACAATGAATCTTAAACACAAAAGTTTCCCACAAAGTAGAAAAAAATAAGTCAGATATTTGTAGATTCTTTAAAACCAAAAAGGATTTAAAGTGGACTCTGTTCAACTGTGGAGGGAGAAATGGAGACTTCTGCCATCAGGACTTACAACACAGAGTAAAAGAGTATTTTTGCAAGTTGTCTTAGAGGTTAGTCAACTCTGTTCATATTAGCTCACCAGGCAACAATGCTGAGTACATACCTGGAGAAAAGTGCATCCCATAATCTTCCATCTTTGAAATCCCAGTGATTAAAACAGGAAAGCTGGAGAAAGTATCTCTGCTGAAAGAGCTCCAAACCAAGCAGGATAGGAACTTAAGACTGACGGACTTAAGACTTAAGAGCAATTCTCCTGGGCTTTTAAGGAGGTTTGTGGGTGTGGGCAGGAATGTGGGGGGTTGAGCTTCTTCTTTTGTGAGTCTCTTTACAAGCAGTCAGGCTGTTTCTACCAACTGGCATCATTTACATTTCTTTAAAATGCTGTTTCTCAGGTCTGAAAAAAGAAAGTACAGTTAGAAAGCAGCCGTACAAATGAGCTTTACCAAATCCTTCCACCTCACACTTTATAAAATATGAAACACTTAATGCCTGAAATTATTTTATCGTTTTAATCCCTGATACATCAAGAAATGACAAAGTGTGAACTCCAACCTGGGTACAGAATTTCTACTCAAGCGGGCTTGAAGTGTGGGGTGAGGGGCTGGTGATTCCTTGTAAATAAGTCTCTACAGTAAATTGGAACGAGATGGACTTGATGTATTTCTCAGAGTAACAAAGGTTTTCCTCAGCTGCAAAGTATCTTTTATTACTTTTAACATTTAATGTAGGAATTGTTTCCCTCACTGGTGTGCTCATGTTTGAGCAGCACTTAGCAGCTAATTACTGAATTGAACTGATTCCATGTTTGCATTAATTAATGCAGTGTTAGATCACCCAAAGAACTTTCCACTCACAGAGCATTTTTGCAAATGCATCCTCACACTAATTTGACCTGCAGGTGTTCAGTTGCGCCTCTGTGTAAACCCCCACAGCAGCTTTTAGAGGCCAAACCAAGGTTTTCACACTCGGGTAAACTATTAAAAAATATGACACTGAATATCACAATGATATTAGTTTCACCTTCTTTGAAATGCACCTCTACATTTTAAAAGTCTCTGAAATTAAAAACACCCACATAATTGGCCTGTATTTGTATAGCACTTTACTTAGTTCTTAAGGACCCCAAAGCGCTTTATACATCCAGTCATCCACACGTTCACACACACATTCACACACTGGTGATGGTAAGCTACATTGTAGCCACAGCTGGCTACAACACAGAGTTTTCAGACAGCAGCATTGGTGATTTATATAGAGAGTCTGCATGTCAATCATCATCTGTTCCAACCACATCAGATGACTTTGTACCCTTGATTTCCGAGCCTGCTGCACAGTCTATTACAGATGAAGATAACATGGAAATGCCCCCTGAATTCTGTGATCTTTTTCTGAGAAACGTTTCACTATTCTACTTAAAATTGCAGGGTCAGTTTCTACTGCCTGCTTCAACCATACAGAACATTGTGGAGGAAATGCAGAACATGCATGAGTTGGGACAGACATACAGTTTGGGTAAACTTGCATCACTGTTAAAAGATGACACATCATTATCAGAGGAGGACATCAACAAAGTCTGCGAGTCTGTCAAAAGCTATGATCTTTTTTCTGCATGTCATACCGGGCCATTGAGGACAGTGCACTCCAGAGCTCAGATCTTTAAAAAAGCCTTCAACTATGTGGAACCAAAGAAAATATTTTTAGGGAGAGATGAAAACAGAAAAGATAGGTTTGCCTATTATGTGCCTTTAAGAGAGACTTTGAGATGTCTGCTAGAGTCTGATCTGTGGCAGAAATCAGAAGAGCCCTCTACTGAGCCTCCTGCTGATGTTCTGTGTGACATAAGTGATAGTAAGCTGTTTAAATCAAATGATTTTTTTGGTCAAAACCCATCATGTCTCAAGCTAGTACTCTACCAGGATGCCTTTGAAGTCGCTAACCCTTTAGGCTCTGCAAGGACAAAACACAAGGTATTAGCTGTATATGCATCAGTGGCAAACTTGCCACTTCATGTACGCTCAGACACAGATCACATGTCTCTTGTCTTACTGTGCAGGGAGAAAGATTTTAAAGAGTTTGG